CAAGGAACCCCTTTCAGCCATTTCAGCCCTTTCCGCGGGTCCAATCCCACGAAAGCCAAACCAGGCGCCCAGCGCAGGCCGCCCTGGCGTGCGAAACGGGGATTGTCTTTCAGCTCAACCCCCCGGGTCTTGGCGGTTTTCCTCTTGGATTCCCCCGGAAAAAAAACCCACAAAAAACAGTTGGGGTACAACCGAAAACAAGACACTGCAAAATGGAGTGGACGAATTTAAAACATGACCCATCCCCTCTTTGTTTCCCTCTGATGTAAAAATCATGGTCTAGACCGCCAAGAAAAGAAATGCCAGTTAGAGGCCCACACCCCAGAAGGATATGGATTGGACTACCACAAGCATAACCAAGCCGTGTAGCCACATGCTAAAAAAATCGAGAGGGATTGCACAACTTGTCTGAGACGGCTTCCACAATTGCATTTCTTCCATTTGCTTAAGCCCCCCGGGAAAAAATAAAAATATGTCCAGTAGTGATAGATTCCCTTTTAAACTAGCCAGGGAAAATAAACATGTTCTTAAGCACATGGATGATTTAAGTCAGACCTATATGGTCCTGATTTCCTGGCGGCGTTCACTTCGCACCTGAAGCCAGATGCCCCGGCGGTGGCTGCATGGCCTCGGCCACTGGCGTCTCTCCAAGGATATTCCCATGGAAGCATCGGTTTCCCCAGATTCGATTCGGTCAGCCCTAAGGTAACCAGGCCAAAAACCGATCATGTAAAACTTCTCCGCATTCTCAGCTGTTGCTTTTCTTGGCGGCCTGGGTTTTTCGTTCAGCTCGCCAAAACGGGCACCTTCGCATCCCCCCGAGAAATCAACCAGAAATATCTCTTGCCCCTCACGAGTCCCCGCCCGCTCGAGTCTCAAGTCTCTCACTTGCCGACACGCAAATGCAACCAGAACCACTGGCTTTCCAGTTGGAAACCTTGTGGACCAAACACCCATCCCAATCCCATCCAAAAGGTGGACCAAACAAAAAAAACATCCCAATCCCGTTCAAAAGTGAGAAATAGGTTCTATGACTCCGGGGTCCACATTTTCCCTTTCCACGGTCACAGGTTCGCTTGCCCTTTTGGAAAGGAAGCGGAAGCCGCTTACTCGCTGCCCCCGCCTCAGGCCGCTCACCTGAGAAATCCGCTGATGGCCAAAATCAGTCCAGCGAGTTTGTTGGCTATGGTCCAAACCCAAAAAGCGTCGAGACGTTGCCCCTCAGAAGAAACAGATCGGCTTTCTGCGCCTCCTCAGCACAGGGAACCCCTCGCAAAAAAACATCTGCAACACACAAACGGGGCCCACAGAAAGCCCAGACCGCGTCGCTACTCGTCGCTTGGGGCTCATTTGATTTTGCAGCTGGGGTCTCGAGGTTCCCGAATCCAAAGCATGAAAGCGGCGGTTAAAAATTGGCCCAAGGTGAGGTTTCAAACCGCCCTGAACGGAATGTATCCGGTGCTGGACGCGCGGATGGCGGCACACCCATCAGGTGACCCTTGACATGCAGCTGTCTACCCAAACCCTCCTTTGCAGGTTTTCCTGATCTTGAACCTACCCGCGTAACCAAGCGCAACTGCATCCTTTGTGTATTTCGAAGAACCAGGGCTCCCATGCTACATACCCCCTTTTTGGTATTGGGAGATTCCCGGGGGTGACAAGAATGAAGACTAGGTCCTCCAGTAGAGGGGTTAGAATAAGGCTACCAACTTTTTCCTGTAGTCTATTTTAGCATTGGAACCCTCCACCAAAAAAAGAAACGGTAAAACTTGGCACTGGGGCAAGTAGAAGGGTTCCCCTAGACCCGCCAACCACCTCGAACCCCTCGCCCGCCTGGCCGCACAGCGTATCCTGCAAGGCGTGGGGCACAAGGCGTGTGGCTTGATACAAATCCACGCCCATGAGCCCTGGGTGGGTGGGTGGCTTGTAGGGGCCTTATCCTCGACTCCAAGAGCCTTTCAAAACAAAGCGTGCAAACGGAAAACCTGGTTTTGAACCTGTTGCTTTACCAAAAACACGGCTTTCCAACCAAAAACCTGGTCTTAGTTTTAAAACCCCGGTACAAAAACCATACAACGCAGATAGGAAACCCAGACAAACCTGTACCTTTGTATGCTTTTCAAAACCGGGCTTTCCCGCGAAGAACCCGGTTAGGTTCGAGAACCTTTAAACAAAAGGCTCTTGGAGTAGAGGGTCCGTATAGTTGGATCTTGGCCAACGAGTCTCGAACCAAACCGACGATTGAGTGGCATCCCTTGGGCTTTCGACCAAAGACCCACCTCCATTAGACATCTCGGAGGTGTTGGTCTCAAAACCTGGCTGTTTGAGGGCCGTTTCCACAATAGAACTCGGGAGCGAAGAAAAACCACAGGTCTTCCCCATCCCATCGCCTGGCGGATGCCTCAGCGCGGCGATTTTCGGCCAGGGGTCTCATGGCGATCCGGAAACCCAGGTTTTGAGCTGCAAATGCACACAAACACATAGACACACAGACACACATACACACATACACACAAGATAGATAAATAGATAGATATTCAAACGGATCATAGCCACGGTCAATCTTCATCCTCTTCCCCTTAAATGGTCGGCGACCTCCTCATTTCCTCGTGCCAACGCGGTGGGTATATTGGCATTCGTGGTCTACCCCAAATTGTGTTTGGGGCCAGGTCAGCTTAAAGCTTAAGCGCCCCGGTAGGTGAAGGCTGAAGCCGGCTACTGCCCAGTTTGCGGACCAAACAAAATAGAGAGAAGCTCCTTGCCAACTATCCCTTACCAACCTGGATCGCCAGTTGCTGTTTTTGTTTCTCCATCTACTTTACCCCAAAAACCAGCAACAGTGATTGAAAAAACAGCAACTTGGCCATCTAGGAACCTTCACTTACCCGGGTGCTGATGGCTGTTGCTTCACACATCCAAGGCTCCGGCCCGTGAGGTGGATATCCAGGCGGAGGGTAGCCCACCGGCGGGTAGCCCGGCGGCGGGTAGCCCACCGGCGGATAGCCCGGGGGTGGGAATCCTGGACCTGCCAGCTTTTCTTTTTCCTCCCCTAGCCTGGTGTTGGGACCATAAGTCAGCTACTATGCCGAAATGGAGGTCAAAGGTTTGGGGGTGTTGGGACCATAGATCAGGCAACTCTGCCGAAATGGAGGTCAAGAGAAGTTTCCGGGCTGGACCAGGTCAAGCCCATCAGCTCGGACAGTCTGTGTGTGGTCAAAGCTCGCTGGAGACGGTTCGCTTTTCAGAACCCGGAGTGTCGGAGTGTCGGATCGATGGGGTCGACCATCCATAGCCCAAGTACCATGTTTTGACCACACGTGAGGGCGGTTCCCCCTGAGTCCAAAAACCGGACATCGCCGAGCGAGGCCAAACAAAAAAAACCGCTTCCCAATTGAGGTACAACCCTTACAAGACTTCCACAGATCCCCTGGACAAACTCCGCAAACATATCACACGAAAATGAATGACTTCCTCAAATCCTTTCTTCCCCTGCACATTTTACAGGACCCCACCGCCCCCCACCTTCCCGCCCACCCCCTTAAAAAAAACAAACAACAAAAAACAAAAGTCAACAAAAAGGACCAGGAGATCGCTCTACAAGTTGGGACGGTTTGGGACCCTTTCTCAGGCCAGCACAGGGCATCGCATAGGGCCTCGGCCTGGCATCCGAGAGGCGGTTCCTGGGAGCAGGGCGGTGGGTTGAAATGGAATCCACGAATCTGTGATGCAGAAAGCTTCTCAAAGACTCACCCCCCATAAAAGACAGATCCCCAAAAGTATCACAGTGGGAAGAGACAAGCACATGATCATAGATCGGAAAATGAGCGTCGTGATCGCTGTGGGGAACCCGACGATTCTTGCTGCACCGATCAACTAGACTTACTCCCTTCCATAAAATGGTTACTTCACGAGTCTTCGGAGATGGCTTATTAACCCCCCACAAGGGGGAGATTCACAGAAGTATCACAGTGGGAAGAAACCCCTTGATCCCACAACCCTGCTTGGGACCATAGATTGGAATTTGCTGGCCAAATTTTCGAAACTGACCATGGGCGGGTTTGACTTCAAATGGTTCAAAACGAGTCAAATGTCTCATGGTGAAGCTCAGGCCGTGGACGAACCCCTTCGGTATCCTGGGGCTTTGAACCCCCCCCCAAGAGGTTGACGATGCCATGCCTACCTACCAACCCCAAGTGGGGTCTTGTGACACAAATTGGGGGACACCCCATGTCAACGAAGCAAACGCTGGAACGGAGCGTCCCTAAATGAGGCTCCCCAAAATGGGACGTGCGGGCCGCCTTTTCAGACTTACTTCGCTCGTTTGCCACCCGCAAACAGCGTACCAAGCCTCAACGCACGAGACTCAAGTCACGAAATTTACCTCCAGAACCCATACCTGGAGTCTCCATGACCCTTAAAATGGGGTCATTACCCAAAATAATGGGGTCATTGACAAACTTTTAAAGGGTCATGGAGACAGGTACAAACCTCGCCAGGCGGACCCGTAGCCATAAGGCCTTGAAGCCAGCCCACTCGACTCAAGCTCTCGCAAGCTCACGCCTGGCCCTCTGAGCAGCGGACACCGGCATGTGTGGCGCACCCCTCGGTCAGGCGTCCCGCTTGGCGTCTGGAAAGTCTGGAAAAAGCTGAGGCCGGTGCATCGGACGGGCCTCACGGCTGAGGCAGGCTGGCAATATCAAATGGGTGCTTTCTGCAGGATTTGCCTTTCCCCCCCGCAAAAAAAAGGAAAACATGGTAGTGTTCCTTTGGTTTCCCAACAACAAACACGCCGAAATGATTCTGGGGCCAAGGCAGGGCCATAGGGCGCTCCTGGAGCCTCGCAAGGGTTGAAAGAGTCAGACCGGGCGAGCTCCAAGCAGCTCAGGTTCGAACTGGCCCAGAAGGCGGAGGCCCTGCATGCCTCGGGTCAGAGCTGGGTACAGTCTGCTTCTTGAGTTCATCAATCCTTGGCGCGCTGCGCTGGCATGAGAGGCACGTGAGGAGGTACATGTGGCGGAAATGGATGAGAGCCGTGCGGAGGGGGGGCGTATGGTGGCACCCCATGTGGTGGCACTCCGTGTGGCGGCGGTCCTCCTGGTGGTGCCCCGTGTGGTGGCACTCCATGTGGCGGCGCTCCGTGTGGCGGCGGTGCTCCTGGTGGTGCCCCATGTGGTGGCGCTCCGTGTGGCGGCGCTCCATGTGGTGGCGGTCCGTGTGGCGGCGGTCCCTGAGGTGGCGCCCCATGTGGTGGCGCTCCATGTGGTGGCGCTCCGTGTGGCGGCGGTCCCTGGGGTGGAGCCCCATGTGGCGGCGCTCCGTGTGGCGGCGGTCCCTGGGGTGGCGCCCCATGTGGCGGCGCTCCATGTGGTGGCGCTCCATGTGGCGGAGGTCCCTGAGGTGGCGCCCCATGTGGCGGCGCTCCATGTGGTGGCGCTCCATGTGGCGGCGGTCCCTGGGGTGGTGCCCCATGTGGTGGCGCTCCGTGTGGCGGCGGTCCCTGCGGTGGCGCCCCAAGTGGTGGCGGCGGTCCGTGGGGCGGCGCCCCCATTGGTGGTGGGCCCTGAGGTGGCACTCCATGTGGGGCAGGCCCCAGCGCCATTCCCTCTGGTGGCGCACCATCAGGTGGTGCTCCTGGGGGGGGAGGCCCTGCACCGCGCACCTGCAACACACAAAAAACACGCCAAGCCTCAGCAATCCTCCAGTAATTAGTCTTCGACCCGCCCCTTGTCCAATCCCCCTGCGCGCCATCGGCACGCCCAGGGCCATGCCAACTGCCACCCCGGCCGCCGCGGACGCGATCTTTGCCGCCGCACCTCGATTCGACGGTTCGAGGCTCCAAGATGCGCTGTCCAAGAACCTGGATTAAGAAGGTTGACCCCGTGAGCGGCTGTTCTTCAAAAACCAAAGACACACACACACACACCCACCCACCCACCCACCCACCCACCCACCCACCCACCCACCCACCCACGCACGCACGCACGCACGCACGCACGCACGCACGCACGCACGCACGCACGCACGCACCCACGCACCCACGCACCCACGCACCCACGCACCCACGCACCCACGCACCCACGCACCCACGCACCCACGCACCCACGCACCCACGCACCCACGCACACGCACCCACGCACCCACGCACCCACGCACCCACGCACGCACGCACCCACGCACCCACGCACCCACGCACCCACGCACCCACGCACCCACGCACCCACGCACCCACGCACCCACACACACACACACACACCCACACCCACACCCACACCCACACCCACACGCGGACGCACGCACGCACGCACGCACGCGCGCAAGCACCCAGCCACCCACCCACCCACCCACCCACCCACGCACGCACGCACGCACGCACGCACGCACGCACGCACGCAAGCACGCACGCACGCACGCACCCACACACACACACACACACACACACGCACACGCACACGCACACGCACACGCACACGCACACGCACACGCACACGCACACGCACACGCACACGCTACACGCACACGCACACGCACACGCACACGCACACGCGCACGCTACGCACACGCTCACGCACGCACACGCACACGCACACGCACACGCACACGCACCACGCACACGCACACGCACACGCACACGCACACGCACACGCACACGCACACGCACACGCACACGCACACGCTACACGCACACGCACACGCACACGCACACGCACACGCAACACACGCACACGCTACACGCACTTCGCCACGCGCACGCGACCGCGCACTGCGCACGCGGACGCGGAGCGCACGCGCACGCGCAACGCGCGACGCGCACACACCCGCTGCACGCACACGCACGTGCCACGACACGTGCACACGCGCAACAACGCACAACGCACCCGCACACACACACACACACACACACACACACACACACACACACACACACACACACACACACACACACACCCGCACGCACGCACGCACGCACGCACGCACGCACGCACGCACGCACGCACGCACGCACGCACGCACGCACGCACGCACGCACGCACGCACACACGCACACACGCACACACGCACACACGCACACACGCACACACGCAAACACACAATCACAGAAACAAACAAACACACAAACACACAAACACACAAACACACAAACACACAAACACACAAACACACAAACACACAAACACACAAACACACAATCACACAAATACACAAACACACAAACACACAAACACAAACACAAAACCACACAACCACAACAGCACAAAAGTACAACAACGCAAAAACACGACAACACAAAACACAAAACCACAAACACACAGACCACACAACCACAAAAACAAAAACACACAGACACAAAACCGCAAAACACAAACACACAAACACACACACACACAAACACACACACACATATCATTTTTTTTACAAACACACAAAACCGCAAACCGCAAAAACACAAAAACACAAAAACACAAAAACACAAAAACACAACAATAACACAAAAACACAAAAACACAAACACACAATTCCTGCTCCCGGCACTTGTTTGAGCAGAACTTTGCTTTATGTGAATACATATATATATATATATATATACATATTTATTATGTATATATGTTTTGTATAGACATAAATGTATATTAATATATACAAATACATTTGTATGCAATTCCCCGTCCAAAACCCGCGGTTTGAGTTTGTAAAATAGAAGTTGTTGTTATTGAGACTGTGCTTTTGCAGTACAGGGCTTTGAAGCGACTTTAAGGCCCTGTTGGATTCAAGATTCAAGATTCTCAGGACTCTCATGTTGAATTTGAATCTTGAACCCGGAAAAGCTCCGAATGGATTATTGTCAGCTGCTTCAAATCGTGTTTTCCTGCACAGGGCTTGCATTCAAGATTGAACTGAGAATATTGAATGTAACATCCGGAAATACTTTAAAGCGTTTTGAAGCATTCGCTTGGAGCAGTACTGGACTCAAGAATTATAAGTTGCAGTTTTGGGCGAACACGAAGTAGCCCAGGGAAGCAAATGAGCACAAAGTAGATCACGATGTACCCAAAGCACCCGGAAACACAACTCGGGTGAAGCTGTGGATGATGACCGGGTTGAGGAAGTGACGGTTGACAATGGAGAAGTATGGGGAGGTTAGAAATCAAGTTGAAGAGGATTAAGTTCAATACCAAGCCCAAGTAGAACAGCGCGACTCACCGAGCACCTCCTACACCCAGCCGCCCGCGGCCCCGACCCTTTTCGGCTCGAGGACGAAGAAAGCTGCCAGTGAATGGCGCACGAGCGTGAGTCCTATTCCCACTTGACGGGAGGTAAAAACTTGAGCCAAACGGCCGTTCGGCCGTTTTGACATATGAAGAAACAACACGTGAACAAAACACACCCCCCTCATCCGATATCTGGACAAGAGAAAGGATGCGAGACAGTTGAGTTCACGACGAAAGGGACCAACCAAAAATGCCGGTGTCAACTCAGAGGTGAGCCAACGGCAGCACCTGGGCCCCAGTTAAAATCCCGCCACCACCCCGAATTAGCGGGGCGACAGGATTATTTGACGAGTGGGCCACATGAGTGAACAGAGACATTATGGAGGAACCAGACGAAGATTCCTCTCGTGCCGTTCATGCATTGTCATGGGACAACAACATGCGGAGGGGGATCCTATCTGGATCACCGCGCCTCACTGCACGCCGCGAAGTGGTTGGAGTGGTAAACGAGTTGGGATCACAGAAGAGAAGGACGTTCCGAAATTGGTGTGAAAATACCCGGCTACGGCCGGCCCGGCACTTCTAGTGCGGTCTCAGCCTCACACAGGATCGCCAGGGGAACCGTCTCCGGCGCGCACGGCAGCGGTGCGGGAGGGACACGAGCAACGCCGGATCAGCGGTACAGGGCAATGGAGACCATCACCCCCAGCAGCGCCGCATAGGCGAGAGGAGGACCGGCGCGGTCGCGTTTCTCGGCGACACACGTACTATCCTCGCCCTTCTAAGGCGGATGCTGATTGCGGTACCCGCCTACCACCCTGAACCAGGTTCTTCCCGGTCCCTGGGCACGTCGTCTCTCCGGCGTCCACCACGGTCACCTCGATCACCTCCTCCATCCCGACGGCGATCCTCACCACCACCCCTATTGTGGTCTCCAGCCGGAGGTCGGCGAGGCGGAGGGGGATCTGATTGGTGACGTCGGTCATCCCTGCGCCGGTCCCGGTGGCGATCGCGACGGTCATCACCCGGGTCATCACGTCCGCGGCGCTCATCTCGTCCCGGACCGCGCCTCTCGGAGGTCTCCTCATGACGTGGATGAGGTCGGCGATCATCGCGTCGGCCTCCGCGGGTATCCCTGCCACGATCATCCCTTTGTCGGGGCGGGCCAGGATCCTCGCGTCCACCTTTGCCAGGTCGATGTTTTCCTCGACCCTTCCCCTCACCCTTAGGACCGCGACGATCCTCGCGGGCCCCAAGCGCGGTCCTCGACCGATCGTCATCTCGGCGGGGCCGCGACTCATCTGCCGCACGAGTGGTCCGAGGCACACCCGGGGGAAGCTCCCACTCGTCGTTGTCGTCATCGCGCGGATCATAGCCGCCGCGGCCGCCCAAGGAACCGGTGGCATCCCGTGGTGGGGACGCAGGAGTTCCGGGACCGCCCGATCGAAGACGAACTCGGGGAGCCGCGTCCTCGCCGGTAAAAGGATCCTTCTGGGTGTAGAAACCCTTGGTCCTGCCCCTTCTCTCCCCACCTTCCACACCGCTTCTCGCGGGGACCGGGGAGGGACGGGCAGGCTGGGCCATGCTCTTAGAGCTGGGTTGCCCGCCAGGCGGGACCTGAACGCCCCCCTGCCCTTTTTCGGGCGCGGGGACCCGACCATGAGATGTCCTCCTGGCCTTGGGTTGGTCGGACTCACCCTCCAGCTCGGACTCGGTGTCAGGGACACGAGTATTGATGGCCGCGTCCTCGTCCTCAAAGGGATCCTCAGCCGTCGTAACGTCAGCCGCAATGGGAGCGGGAGGAGGAGGAGGAGGAGGAGTTGGTACAGCATCGCCAGGCTTGACGCCCGCATGCGACACCACGGGAGTCTCCGGTTCTACCGGGACAGGTGGCGCAGGAGGAGCCGGGGGCAGCGGCGGAGGGGGAGGGATTTCCTCCTCGTCATCGTCCATGGGCTCGTCAGGGTCGTCAGACTTCTCTTCCTCGCCGCACGAGGACCCATCCGATCCCAGCTCGTCCTCCGCAGATCCAGCAAAGTCGGGCTCGTCTTCATCCTTCACGCCGGGGCCTGGTGTAAGGCGTATCCCGGGCCGATAACGATCGCGAGGTCGGAAGCGGTACTTCCGGGGCGTAGGGTCGGACAGCTCCTGCTTGATATCATCCTGGGTTTGAGGACGGTCAGCCAGGCAGGTGTCGTAAGCAACGGTGGACGTCCGGTAGATCAGATCGTCCATACTGCTGAGGTCGTTGAGGGTGTAGACGTACCCCTTCTTAACGCCTTCCCGTATCTTGTCCATAGCCCGCTTGAGGCGCGCGGCAGGATCGAATCCGGCCCTTCTCCGCATGGCCTGCAATATCCCGCAGTGCTGAGCGAGCAGCCTCATCTGGAACTTAAATCCCTCCCCAGACATATCGTTGGGGAGTATCGGAGAAAGATGTCCTGATCTCAGCCCAATGATATGGGCCTCAAGAATGTAGTAGGACGTGTAAAAGCCGCACCGGTTGGCGTTGAAGTTTGCGGTGGTTAGGCGTCTGCCCCATTCAGCCGCATACCCTTCATACTCCTCGAAAAAGTCGGAGACGGAGCTCCCGTTGAAGGCAAGACCTCTTACCAAGATCGCCTTTGCAACCCAGTCTTCCACGTTGTGGTCGACCGTA